GCCATTTACCTAAGATAAATCTCTCTCTCTCTCTCTTTCTCTCTCTATAAATATATATATATACTTTGCTGGTTTTTGTGTTTCTCTAGAGAACCCAATCCAACACATGAGGTTACCAGGAGCTAGGTGCAGGGGAAATAGGAAGTTATTGCTCAGTGAATACAGAGGTTCTGTTTGGGGTGATGAAGAAGATATTGATCACTGCACAACATTATGAATGTAATTAATCTCACTGAACTGTACACTTAAAGAAAGGTTAAAGTGGCAAATTTTATTATATATATATATATTTTACCATAATAAAATCTAGTAAGGGAAAGTTAAAGCTAGTCAACATTGACGTTGTAACTCCTAACCTCACTAACTATTCTTAAACCCTTCTGGTCAAAATTAGAATTTTAATGATGGATATTTCCACACATTGAAAATACTTTTTGACTCTAATGTAATGTATGAGATGAGAAATTCAAAATTATCTATGACAAAGAAAAAAAAATTCTTACATGTAGTTCCTACTTTACCCACTCATGATTTAGGAAAAAAAAATTATTCTCTCACACACTGTGTTTACCAACTTTTATAAGGATCATAATTTCAGTAACTTTTTTGTCATCTCATCACTCACCTGGAGTCGATCTTCTTTTCCATTGTGTCTAATCCTTTTTTGATAGACATTCAACCAGTGGCTCGATGTACACTTCTTAGTGAGCAGATCCTTCATGAATCAAAGTCTTTTACGTTTCCTTTTTAACTATAGTACAAGCAAAAAGATGGGGGCATAAAAAAGAATTCATCTGCAACCTTTTAGAAACCATGTTCTTAAAAGCTACATAACAGCTCCTGTCTTCATTAATTCAACACTAGATGAAGATAGAGGAGCTCTAGTGGCATAATGCCCAAGGCATTTGACTGCTAACCAGAAGGCTGGCAGTTCAAACTGACCAACGGAAGGAAGGTTGAGCAATCTACTTCCATAGTGATACCACCATAGTAAAACCAAAGGAGGGGTTGCTATGAGTTGGATCTGACTTGATGGCAATGAGTTTAGATGAACATGGGAGATCTGATTAAAACAGTCTTTGTAAATTGCATTTTTAAAAAGTTCTCTAAGAAAGAAAATAAAGGAAAAAAGTTAGATCTTCAAGAAAGGAAGAGTCATAGTACTCTGTCATGGAGTCCAAGTCGACTCAGAGAGACCCCCATTGGGTTTCCTAGGCTGTATCTCTTTATGGAAGTAGACTGCTCCATCTTCCTTCCACAGAAAAGCTGGTGGGTTTGAACCACTGACTTTCTGATTAGCAGTCAAATGCCTTATCCTCTATAAAAACCAGAGCTGCTCTACACAGTTCAGTAGTCACTATTTGTAATATAAATGCTCAAAAACTCATTGCCATCCAGTAGATTCCAACTCATAGTGACCCCCACTGGGTTTCCAAGGCTGTAAATCTTTATGGTAGCAGACCCTCTCATCTTTCTTCTGCAGAGAGGCTGGTGGGTTCAACCACCAACCTTTTGGTTAGCAGCCAAGTGCCTTAACCCTATGCCACCACCCACTAAACCCATTGCCACCAAGTACATTCCAACTCATATTGTTGTCAGGTGCTGTCATGTCAGCTCCGACTCATAGCAACCCTGTGTCCAATAGAACAAAACACTGCCTGGTCCTGCACCATCCCACAATCCTTGCTATACTTGAGCCGATATGTGCAGCCACTGTGTCAGTCCACCTTGTCCAGGCTCTTCCCCTTTTTCGCGGACCCTCGACTTTACCAAGCATGACATCCTTCTCCAGAGAATGTTCCCTTGTGACAACATGACCAAAGTAGGTGAGACAAAGTCTGGCCATTCTCACTCAGAGTGACCTCCACTGGGATTAAACTCACTGCCATCGAGTTGGATCCGACTCATAGCGACCCCTCCTTGGGTTTCCAAGATGGTATCACTATGGAAGTAGATCTCTCAATCTTCCTTCCAAGGAGTGGCTGGTGGGTTTGAACCACCAGCCATCTGATTAGCAGTCAAATGCTTTACTCACTATGCCACCAGAGCTCCTCCATTGGGTTTACAGGGCTGTACATCTTTATGGAAGTAGACTGCCTCATTTTCTTTCTGTGGCCTCCTGGTGGGTTTGAACCACTGACCTTCTGGTTAGCAGACAAATGTCTTAACCACTAAGCCACCAGAGCTCCTTACTACACCATCAGAGTTCCTTATTTGTAACACAGACACTAATAATTTAACAGTATTACCACAGTCACTTTGGTGAGATGAGAAAAGGAAAACTCAGAGAGCTTAAGCACTTACCTCCCATGAATAACAGCACATAATATGTAAAAGTGACAAATAAGAAATATCAGTATATTTTCTTCCAACTTATAAAAAATATCAGGAGAAACAGCAGGCAGGATGGAAAATGGAACTAAGACATAGGAGCTACTTTTATTATAAGCTTTTAATATTTAATCATGTATGTTATTATGTACTGTCGAGTTGGACCCGACTCATAGTGACCCCTCCTTGGGTTTCCGAGGCAGTATCACTACGGAAGTAGATTGCCCCATCTTCCTTCCGATGATCATGTATGTAAGTTTGAGAAATGTGAAAATATGAAGTATTCTAAAAAACAAGTTTCTTCAGTATTCTGCCATTTCTAATAATGACTGAGAAATGAATGCCTGTACTAAAGAAAAAGGAAGAATCCTAAATTTGTATCTTAAGTCTCAGAGTAATTTTCAACAGTGGACGATCTTTCATTAATCAAAAACGAAGCCCAGCCTCCCACCGTGAGCAGTGGCACGGTCTGTTTCCGGGGTTGGCTCTCTAACGAGGCAGCAGCCAGGCATTCAGAGGAGCCTTCTAAGGGCGTGGAAGGATGCAGCGGCCCGGGAGACGGGACCCGCCCAGCAGAAAACACGCGGGCGCCCTCCTGCGCGCTCCTCTCACGTTTTCTCCTCACTCTCCGAACACAGCTGTGGAGCAAACAGTACTCCGCTTCTCACTAGAGGAGGAGGAGGAAGCAGAGGCTGCGGAAGGAGAGGTCACCTGGCCCAGCTAGGATGGGCGGAGCGCCGACGGCCTCACAGCGGCTGAGACACTGCCGCTCAAAAGCCAGGAGTGACGGAGACTGGACCTCGTACCTAGGAAAGCTGAGCCCTTCGCTCCCATGGCGCGTGAAGTCCCAGCCGAGCCGGCGGACTCCCACAAGCCTCCGGACGTCCGCACCCGCGATGTGTCTTAAGGCTTCCCGCGCCTCCGGACGCCGACGCGACTTGGCGCCGGCCCCGCCCCCATCTCCAAGACAACGCAGCACTCGGTGGAGGCCCCACCCCCGACCTTGGAATTTGCGCAGCCGCAGCAATCAGGTACCCGCCCGCTGACGTGTTCCAGCAGTACGAGTTGCCTCGGAGGTCTGGCGATGACGGTAGCATCCGAGCTAACCCAGAGTGGTCTTTGTCCCCTGCGCCAGCTCGCTTTTTTCCTGAGCTCCGTTTCCTACGGCTGCTTTCCTTCAACTCTGCGTCTCCTGTGACTCTGCCTCTTATTCTCCACGGTCTCCGGGGAGTACCGACAACTCCCCACCCCCACCCCGTGAAGTAGCGCGCACGCATGCGTGGACCAAGGAAATGCCGGCGAGGGGATCAAAACTAGAGCTTTTTAGGTTAGAGCCAGGCTAATAATCTCTTCTGATAACTCTTCCTTTAAAAAGTAGTTTGTAAGCACTAATCATTCCCAATGTAAATATTCATGTTCTTAATTTGGATCTACCTAAATTAAAACAGAACGATAATCTTTAGGATAGGGACGGTGGTGGTGGTGGTATGTGTCCTCGCGTCAGACCCGACTCATAACGACCCCGACATTATGATAAACATCGTCTGAAAGAGATTGCTGGTGGTGAGATCAAAGGCTAGCTTTATACCTCAAAATGCTTCAAGGTACGCGAGCTTTCTGGTGGAAGGACAAGTCTACTGTTACACATCAAAATGCTTGGAAGATTTTACGTTAAAACAGTAAAGGAGACCACATAACTGTTTCAGGTGTCTTGGGATTAGAATCACACCTAACTGGTACTTTTATCTTCTGTGTATATTAATCTTTGTAATTTAAAAGAAAATGTTACCAATGCCAACCACTCGAAAAAGCATCAAAATTGGAGATCATGGATAACCAAACCAAAAACCAAACTGACTACTGTCAGGTTGGTTCCCATTCACAGCCACCCCCTTTGGGTTTCTGAGGTGGTAGACTGTCCAGTCATCCTTCCGTGGGGTGGCTGGTGGGTTTAAACATACAACCTTCTGTTTAGAAATCAAATGCCTTAGGCACTACGCCACTAGAGCTCTTTTGATCTTGGATAAAGTGGGAGCAAAATGTGGAACAAAACTCAAAATCATTTAAAAAAAAAAAAAAACAGACTGACTGATAGGAGGCTGGCGAGATTGTGGACCCTAGTTTCCCTTCTGGCTGGAATTAAACTCCCACGGCTTGTCTCTCAGCCAAACAGGCAGGCCTACCAGCTGAACCCCAACACCAGGGATGTGCACTCCTCGGTACAACCAACCCTGGGAGAACAGAACGGCAGCATTTGCACAAGGACACAGGGAACAGATAACCACAGGGAGGAAGTGGGAGGAGAGTTGTTACACTACAGGGAATGTAGCCAGTGTCACACGACAAAATGTGTATGAACTGTGGAATGTGAAACGAATCTGCTTTGTAGAATGTCACCCAGAACAAAATAAAAAGTTTTAAGAAAAAAGTGTTTAAACAGGCATTCTAATTTAAACAGCGGGACAAGGGAGCCAGCCTTTTAGGGAGGACTCTTCTCGGAAGTTAAGTAGCCAAGTAGAGTTTTAAAAATCATTGGGTTTCAAAGTCCTAATTAACACTATAACTAATATAAGGAGCTCTGGTAGCATAGTGCCTAAGGCACTTGACTGCTAACCAGAAGGCTGGCGGTTCAAAATCCTACTTCCGTAGTGATACTGCCTCAGGAACCCAAGGAGGGGGTCACTATGAGTTGGGACCGACTCGATGGCCAACAACAATATTTACTTACTGTAAAGTTAGTTTTTCTTATAGGCACTTTTATACCAATCATAAAGTTATATAAATTGTGGCATTCAGGATAAATCAACAAGCATGTTTTGTAAGTGATTTCAGCTGATTTACTTAAGTTTTCTTCCTGATATGTGCATTCACGACCCTCAGCTTTGACTCATTTAGGAAGGGATGAAAGGCATTTCCACCTGAGTTATAACGAAAATAATTAAGCCTGCCAGGAAATATTAAAAGATAAGAAGGACCTGGTGAGACACCCCCAAGACTATGGCTCTTAGTTACACTTCAGGTCTGGAATTGAATTCCCTCCCTGTGGCTTCTAAATAATAGCGATGCATATAAGGTGAACATTGACATCAGGTAGATACATTCCTTAGAATATCAGGTAGATATACATTCCTTAGAATGACCAATCATGGGAGAACAGAAGGGCAGTATTTGCATAGGGAGATGGGAGAATGGCAGGAATGCCTGAGAAAGGACACAGGGAAGAGGAGGTAAGTAACTATTGGGAGGAAGTGTGAAGAGAGCTGTTACATTGTGGGGAAGCACAATCAATGTCATGAAACAAAACGTGTATGAACTGC